TGTATGTCGATGACATTATTATCACCGATGATTGTGACTCAGAGATTCTTGGCTACTCAATTTGAAGTGAAGGATTTGAGGCCTTTACGTTATTTCTTTTGAATTTAAGTTGCCCGCTCAAATCAGGGTATCTTCATCTCCCAGAGGAAATATATTATAGATCTCTTGAAAGATGTAAACCAGTCATCAAAAATAGGTGTAAACTTGAAAAATTAGAGAGAAAAAGGAGGAAGAAAAGTAAGAGCAGCAGTACAAGAGAAGAAGATGGAGAAAAGAGGAGGAAGAAGAAAGGTTCGAGTAATCCTTTCCTTTCTTCTCTAATCCCTTTTACTAAAAATTAATGTTAAAATAATTACAAGTATGCCCTTAAGTGGGTGGCCAGCTAGGCAGTAACCTAAAGGGGTCAAACAAAAAGAAATAACAGGCCCATTTAGACAAGGCTTCCGGGACGGACTTGAGTATCACATGAGAAGAAACAGAAGCAAGAAAAGAATAGTAGGAAGGAGTGAGAAGGTTGTAAGACAGGTGTTTGGAGATACAATGGGCTGTACACTTCCGCTTGCCCTTGCGGAGAGCAATAGGAAGCTCAAGGTCTGCGAAAGATGTAGATGTGTCAGAGGAAGGCTGATCTGTTACCTCAGTAATGATGGGAGGAGCAAAAGGCTCTTCTGTAAGAGTGGAAACAACTTTCCCATGTCTGAATCTGTGCCTTTGGTACCACCTTTGAAGAACAGGATGAAGAGGAATTATAGGAGAATGAGGTGGAGGAGGAGGAACAGGAATATTGGAGGTAGGTCCAGTGGGAGAAGTGAACACCTCATGAGAGGACTCAAGAGGAATGGGAAAAGGAACAATTGGAGACATAGCAAAGGGTTCTTCATATTTCTCCCCCTCAGGAGAAATACTAAAGAAATGAGTCAAGTCAGCAAATGTGACATCCCGAGATACAAAGTGAGTACCACTAACTGGATCAAAACAGCAATATCCCTTCTGTGTGGAGGCATATCCTAGAAAAACACATTTACGAGCCTTAGGTTCAAATTTGTGCCTTTGATGGCTGTGAACATGCACATAGCAAGTGCACCCAAAAACACAGAGAGGAAGAGAAAAATATCCTCATCCGGAAAGAGAAGACTAAAGGGGGTTTTGAAGTTAAGAACCCGGGAGGGCATACGGTTGATCAAAAAGGTAACAGTAAGAACAACATCTCCCAAAAGTTTTATAGGAACATGGGATGCAAACAGAAGGGATCTGGCAACTTCAACCACATGTCGGTTCTTCCTTTCCGCCACTCCATTCTGTTGTGGAGTGTAGGAACAAGAACTTTGATGAATAACCCCAAAAGTTTCAAGATAAGCGGAGAGGGTTTTCTCAAAATACTCCTTAGCATTATCAGAACGAAATATTTTGATCCGAGTGTTAAATGGGTAAGGATGAGTTCATGAAATTTTTGCACAATAGCTGGTACTTCATCCCTGGATTTCATGATATAAATCCAAGTGTAACGAAAGTAATCATCAATAAAAAGGATAAAGTACATGTAACCTCCCATAGTTGGCAAATGATATGGCCCCCACACATCAGAGTGAACAATATTTAAAGGAGAAAGAGATCTTTTATTGCTTACTGAATAAGAATGTCTACATTGCTTTTCCAGTTCACACAACTCACAATGAAGACTCAATAAAGACACTCCCTTAAACATATATGGAAACAAATGACAAAGCAGAAAAAGATAAATGACCAAACCGAAAGTGACATAACAAGACTTTGTCAATAGATTCTGACAAGACTGACTCTAAGGCAACTCCATGAGGTAGTCCAAAAGCTCTATCCGGTGTGTCCAGCAAGTATATTCCGTTTGCCTCATGGCCACTCCCAATCATCCTCTGAGATTGCAGGTACTGAAAAACACAATAAGTGGGAAAAAAGGTTATGCTACAATTCATGGGTTTAATTAAGATGCTAACAGATAAAAGGTTTGTATTAAGTTTAGGGACATGAAGGACAGAGGATAAATAAAGGGTGTCAGAGGTTTTTATATCCCCTTTACCAGAAACGGGAGCAAGAGATCCATCAACAAGGGATATTTTCTCTTTACCAGAGAAAAGGTGGTATGAGCAGAAGAGATTAGATAGGCTGGTCATATGTCTAATGCACCAGAATCAATAATCCAAGGGATTTTATGATTACCTGAAACTGAAGCATTATTTGCAGAAACACGAATACCTGAGTGACTAAATGCAGATGATGATGATGTGTTGCTGGAAGAGTGAGATGAAGAAATAGTACCTTCCAAGTGATTTAGCAACCTCCCATACTTTTCAAAATTCGCCTTCATTGCTACCAACTGCTCAATGGTTGTTTTTTCTTCAATCTCCTTATTTCCTCCTTCAGGTACTGTTGCAACATTAGCTGTCTTAGGCTTTCCTACCTGACTGCCCTTCTTAGAACTGTTGTTATTCTTAAACCTATCAGAAAGAATGTCAGGATGAAGCTTCCAACAAGTGTCCTTTGTATGCCTCGTTTTCTTGCAATATTCACATACCTGCTCCTTTTTCTCAATAGGTGCCTTTGGCTTTATTCCAGCATGTGCAAAGTATTCTGTAGGTGGACTTTGTAACTGAACCTGTCGCCTACTCTCCTCACTGCTTATCATAGCGTATGCCTGGGAAAGAGTAACCTCATCTTTGGCCAGGATATTTTGCCTAATGATGTCAAACTCAGGGTTGAGTCCAGTAAGAAATTCAAACACCCTATTTCTCTCCACCAACTTCCTATACATTTCAGCATCATTCTTACTCTCCCATACAATTGTCTCCATAACATCAATTTCTTGGAGATTTCAGTATAGAATAGTAGATTGCTACACTCTTCTCCCCCTGTCTTAGGTTCTTCACGTCACTTTTCAACTTGTAGACTCTGGCTACATTCAACTTCTGTGAATAGATCTCAGTAACACTATCCCATATCTCCTTAGCCGAAGACATCCAGAGATAATGCTAACTTATATGAGGTTGCATAGAGTTGACCAACCATCCAATGATTGTATAGTTCTCCTGCATCCATTTCTCAAATTCAGGGTCTGTCTCTTCGGGTTTCACATTACTACCTGTGAGATACCTGAGTTTTCCTCTACTACAGAAATAAAATCTTATAGGTTGTGCCCAAGCAAGATAATGTCCCATCTAGCTTGATTGTGGTCACACCAGTCAAAACGGAATCTACCGAGCCAAGGCCGGAAACCGGCACTTGCTTGAACCCACTTCCGTATGGCTCCATTAATCAAACGAAAATAAAAAAACCAGAAATTTGGTCTATATAAACTTACTTGAAGTCAAGCCAAAACCTAGATGCTTGAAAACTAGGGTTTTACTCCGTCCAACTATTGGGAAGGAAGAGAGAAGATGCAGCCGCTCCTACCAGAGCTTCCCAATCTCTTCCAAACCTGAACCGCCTTCCTTTAGGATTCAAAAGGCACCTCCCAAGCACAAAGCACCACACCCAAAGCTTCCCCTTTACCTGTACCTTCGAAAATCTCTAGTCGGCTAGGGTTTTGGGCAGCAACAGAACAACACCACTTCTTGGCAGTATCCAGCCAGATTTAAACTCTCCAAACCCTCTATCAACTAGGCTAGAGATCCTCTGAGCTATAGAGAACCTATCTCTCCATACACTCTCTTAATCTAAGGGTGTATGGGAAAAGAGGAAGAAGAAAAGAAGGAAGAAGGAAACCTGCTCTGATACCAAGATGTAAACCAGTCCTCAAAAATAGGTGTAAACTTGAAAAATTAGAGAGAAAAATTAGGAAGAAAAGTAAGAGCAGTAGTACAAGAGAAGAAGACGGAGAAAAGAGGAGGAAGAAGAAGAAAGGTTCGAATAATCCTTCCCTTTCTTCTCTAATACCTTTTACTAAAAATTAATGTTAAAATAATTACATGTATGCCCTTAAGTGGGCGGCCAGCTAGGTAGTAACATAAAGAGATCAAACAAAAAGAAATAACAGGCCCATTAAGAGAGGCCCATTAGCTAACAGGAAAATAGAAAAAATATCACAAGAGAAGATACTATGACCCATTCGACCCAGTCTCTTTACATTGAAAAATACCGAGAAGCTTGGAGCAAAACTTGCTAACACTCCTATAGATGTAAACCATAGGCTTGGGGATTGCAGTGATGAGCCCATAGCAAACACAAAGCAGTATCAAAGATTGGTGGGTAGACTTCTCTACCTATCCATGACAAGACCTGACATTGTGTATGCAATGGGAGTCSTTAGTCAGTTTATGCATGCTCCTAGGACCACATACTTGGAGGCAGCATACAGAGAGTTCTTAGATATTTGAAAACACTCCCAGGGATAGGACTCTTATTTGAAAAACATGGGCATATGAAAGTTGAAGTGTACACTGATGCAGATTGGGCTGGTTCTGTGGATGACAGAAAATCCACTAGTGGTTATTGTGCCTTTGGGGAAATCTTGTTACTTGGAGTAAGAAACAAAGTGTGGTGGCCAAATCGAGTGTAGAAGTTGAATATAGGGCCATGTCTCATGGTGTAGCAGAACTTATATTGGATAAAGGGCCATGTCTTATTATTATTATTATTATTATTATTATTATTGTTGTTATTGTTATTGTTATTGTTATTGTTATTGTTGTTGTTGTTGTTANGGTAATTTGAGTTCAGTCCCCATCAGAACTCAAGGGGAAAGATTCCAAATTGGGATGGGGATGTTGTTTATAGGGGGTGGGAATTAATAAAACAATTCTGAGGCGGAGTGGATTATAAAAAGTTCTTTTTTTTTGTAGAAAAAAAAAGTGTTTCATGTATGCCTCTTTGAGGTAGATTCTTATTGTAGTTATACTGATGCACTAACAAAATACATGATTCCTTCTAATATCTGTTAGATACGGGCATCATTTGTTATTTCCATCTGTAGTATCTTGTATTGATTTTAGTTTCTTTTTCTACTATTCACTTCCTCCCTCTAAAATCAGGTAGCAATGAAGACTGAGGTCACATGGATTCGAGATATGCTCCGAGGTGATGATGCATATGAGTTACGGGTGAAACTCCTGAAACAAGTCCCAGAAGAGTACCCATACAAGGATGACGAATAATTTACCATTATGGAGAGTAGCTTCATGTATATGCTACTTTTGATTTTCTACATTACTCATGCTTAGAATTTGAGCATCCATGGCTTTTTACCCTAGCATTTCTCTCAAATTTTTACTAGGGTATCTGCAATATTTCATTATTTTTATTTTTTATGGGTATTCAATATTCTATTAGTTATTTGACAAGGCATTGCCATATCATCTTAGAGTTGAGGTTCGGAATATCATAGCATATGGGTGTATATTGTATGATATGTATTGTATATTTACATGGATTTTCAGGCCTCTTGGAACCAAAGTTTTGAAAATCGTAATTGTATAGTAAATCATAGAGAAAGTTAATGGAATGGAATCGTGAATTGTATTAAGGTTATTTACATTTTTTACAAACTTACTGAAAATTAAATATAATATGCTAAAACATTATATATATATATATATATTTTACAGGTGTTAAATTCTATTCATTTAGGTACATATATGGTAAATATAGATTTAAAAGAATAGAATTTAACACTTGTACAGTACAAGCCTAAAATGATAAAATCAAATTTAATTTGAAAATAAAATAACTTAAATATAATGTCTCTTCAACCTATATATAATGTAAAACAAACCCAATGTTTGGTTTTAAATAATATAAATAAATTATTGTTTAGTAAGGGATTTAAAACAAGTCTCTATTAGCAAAATTAAATACAAAAACTAATTCTTAATTGAATTTTTTCGAATCAAATCATAAAAATCATATAATTTGTAAGATTTATGAATCATAGTGTAGGATTCAAACAAAAATCATAAGATTTTTGCAAAAAAAAAAGAAAAGATTCAGACATAATATTCAAATTAAAACCCCAAGAATTCATGGTTCAAATCGTGAATTGTATCGTAAATGGTAAGATTTTGACAATATTGCTTAGAACATCTCCTAACATTCTTAACCCTGAAACAACAGCCTCAAAAAAGAGTATCAACATGAACAAAACACATGCATATGCATTTCATACATATCGATATTTTGAACCATGGTTAGGATTGGATTTATAGGTTTTTTTTCACTTGTTTTATGTTAAGTGGAGAGTCATAGCCTACTACTCCCAAGATATGATAGTGCTGGTTGTCTCTAATATATATATATTCAAATTTCTTGGAAGAAACAAGCATTCTAACCATTTAGGAGCACCCGTTAAAGGAAAATTTCCACATACTTAACATGATTGAATAATTGAATTTTAGGTGTTCATACATTGTAGCCTCTTTATGATGTGCTAAAATAATTGTATGCTTCAATAGGCAAGTGTTCTTTCTTCTCGCATTAGCCGAGTTTCCTTCTCATAGTAGGCAAGTGTTCTTTATTCTCCCTTCCTCCCTTTCTCCTTCCATCTTCCATGCCTCATCTATGGAAAACAAATTGGATTTCTCTACTCGTTTCAATGATTTGTTCTCTTCTGAACCTCTCAGAGTAACAACTAAAGGAGATGCCATTGAAGAAAAAGATTGTGAAAGTTGTCTAATATTTGGCATATTCTCCGACCAGCCACGACAATTGGCAGCTCTTAAAGGGGATCTATAGAAGAGTTGGCGCCTTAAAGACAGATCAGCTATTACTGAGTTTATTGATGATTTTTATAGAGTAAAGTTCCCTTCTCAAGAAGTTCGAGTTGGTGTTTCTACGCGAGGACCTTGGATGTTTGATGATGATTATATCCTTATGGACAAGGCAAAACCTAATACACGACCTCATAGTTATAAACTTGATCAGGTTGATCTCTACGTGCATATATATTTTGGGACTACCAATTGACTATCTCACCAGAAATGTTGCCATGGCCATTTCTTTTCTATTTTTTTTTTTGGTAGAAATAGGAGGAGATACACAAGATGGGAGGTAGCTTGGCCCCAAGCATCACAAAAATAAATAGAACTTAAAACCCTAGGGATAAAAGAAGAGCAAAAACTGAAAGTGTTAAGAGGTGATGAAAGAGCTTGGTTTTACATCCAGTCCGCAACTTGATTGGCTTCTCTAAAAACGTGGTTGTAAGTAACTCCACATTTCAAACACTCCTCAATGATGGTTTTCAATCTCCACAGGTAGTCCACTTTGTTCTTTAAGCACGAAATCACTAGAAGAGTCTCCCTCAATGAAAATGGGGAAATCCCTATAGTTAAGAGCTATGTTATGAGCCTCCCACACAGCCCAAGCCTCCGTTACATTAATTGAGGAATTCCCGATAAAATAAGCTTTGGTCTCTAGAACATTCCCCCATTGATTTCTTGCAATGCAGTCGATTGCATAATTGCCTTTATCATTTCTAGACGTGTCGAAATTGATTTTGATAGAGCCCCCTTTTGGTGCTTTCCATTTGATAGGCTTCCATTCTTTAGCTTGTATAGGGCTAGAGTTAGAAATATTCTCAACATTGTGATTAACATATAAAGACAAAGCTCTATGTATAATGACCGAAGGGTGGCAACAGCGGTTATGGAAGGTTTTTTCATTTCTATTTTTCCAAATCTACCACAAGATAAAGCAGGATTTCACAAGGATCATAGAATCGGTCTAATTGGGAAGTAAGCCATCCCACCACTCCCTAATTGATGAATCATTTCCACTAGGCTCAATATTTGGGTTTAAGATACGCCAAACTTGTTTGGCAATAGTATAGTTTTTAAAAATGTGATCCTGTGTCTTCAATTGCATCGTAGAAGTCGCAAACAACATCAATGGAGATACCTTTAGACCGCAAGAAGGACTAAAGGCAGCCTAGAATTAAACAAGTATTAAAAGGTTTTGATTTTAGGAGGAATTTTAAGCCCCCAAATCTTGTTGAGCTGAAGGTTTTGATCACCTTGACCCCTGTGCATAATAATAGCTTCTTTGCAGTTTGATTTAACAGTAAAGTGTCCTTTGGGGTTCAGTCTCTAAATCAACTTACCCTCATTCGAGTTAGAGGGGATAAAGATGGTCCTAATGCCATTCCAAATTGTCAGGGGAACAAAGTTATAGATCTTATTCTCCTCCCAAATATGTCTTTCATGATTAATAATATCACTCACTAGTAATTCATCTTGCTCAATTACAACCCCTGAAGGGTCTCTATTCAATATTCCCTTCAATTTGAGTCAAGTCCAACCAGTTATCTTTCCAAAACTTTATATTTTTTCCATTACCAAATGCCAACAATCCAACTCATACCCCTTTTGAGTAAGTCTCTAGAATTCAAAACTCCCCTCCAAGCCCAAGAAATTCTATTTTTAGGCTTGTTATTCCAAAAAGATTCATTTTGAAGGTATTTGTGGGAAATCACTTAACCCACAAATTATGCTTATCCTTTAGAATTTTCCAACCTTGCTTTGCTAGGCAAACCTCATTAACCCTGTGAAGATTTTTAAGGCCCATACCACTCCATCTCTTGGGGAGGCAAATTTTCCCCCAACTCATTAGATGAATGGGCTTTTTGTCATTGTCTTTGGACCATAGAAAATTTCTTTTAACTCTTGTCATAGAGTTAAAAAGTGTGGCTCTGCCAGCCAAAGAGAGACTCTTCCTCTTTCATCTAGTCAATTTTTTGTTTACTTTATCTCTAAGATTGTTGAAAACTTCCTTTCAAACTCTTCCATTGATGATCGGAACACCTAAATAGGTGGAATCTTTTATCTCAAGAGGGATTTTAAGCATCCTTGAAAGAATCTTCTACAGTTTAGAGGGGGTGTTACTAGAGATTCTAAGAGCTGATTTAGCAAAGTTTGGACTTTGACCTGAAGCTTCAGCGAACTTTTCAAGAATCTCCCTAATCTTCACACAAACAAGAATGGTAGCCTTTGCAAAGATCAAGCAATCATTTGCAAATTGAAGTATTGGGATACAAGGACCATCCCTTAAGGCTTTAAATCCAATTGGACTCTTATGCTTGTTTGATTCTTCAATTAGGTTCCTAGTTAAAGTTTCAACACATAATACAAAATTGTACGGGAGAGAGGATATCCTTGCCTAATGCCCCTAGATGGCTCAAATTTTCTAGAAGGGGAGCCATTAATCAAAATTTTATAGGAGACTGATTTTATGCAAGTCATTACCTTCCTATGGAAGCCAAACTTTGTAAGAATTTTTTTTTATAAAAGACCGTTCCAGCTTGTCATACTCCTTCTCCATATCAACCTTACAAGCCAAAAAGCCCGAACTCCCTTTTTTCTTTTTCATTATATGGAGAATTTCATGTGCAATAAGAATATTATCATTGATATGTCTGTTTGGGACAAAAGCACTCTGAAACAGAGAAATAATTGCATTAAGAATCAGTTTTAAGTCTATTGACCAGAATTTTGGTAATGATTTTATAAGTCACGTTGCAAAGACTTATAGGCCTGAAGTTGTTAACATTATTTGGGTTTTTAACTTTGGGAATAAGAGTGATGAATGTTTCATTAAAAATCTTATTTAATTTTCTAATTGCTCTTATGACATTGCACACCGTGTTTCCAATGATATTCCAAAATTTTTTGAAGAAGAGAGCGTTTAGCCCATCTGGGCTTGGAGCTTTGAGGTCTTTCATTGAGTTTACAGCTTCCCAAATCTCTTTGTCTGTAACTTCCTTACAAAGTAATTTGTTTTGCTCCTCCAAGATGCATGGATTTATGTTTTTGATGAAATCATCCACCCCATGAATAAACTCAGACTTAAATCTCTCATCAAATTTTTTGACAATAAAGTATGTTAATTATTGTTGGTCTTGTTAGTCTTCTATCCAATCATCTTCGTCATTTTTTAATCTGAAAATTCTGTTTGTGTTTCTTCTAATAGTGACCACTATGTGGAAAATTTTGTTGTTTTTGTCTCCAAATTTCATCCAATCAATTTTCGATTTTTGTGCCCAAAAGATTTCTTCACATTTTAGAATGTTGTCAAATTGAATTTGGAGAGCACTCTCCAGATTGATGGTGGCTCTATCATTTGGGTTCTCTAGTAATTTGCTTTGAACTTTATTAAGCTTTTGTAAGAGCTCCTTTTTTGTAAAGATATTACCAAAATGGTCCTTGTTCCATTTTTTTTTTTTAAGTTTTGAACAAGTAGATTCCTTTTTTTAATAAATTGGAGAGCTCTATACCCCGTAGTATTACAACTGCAAAAATGGGTAATAACATCAACAAGATTGGGATCCTCAGACCACATTGCTTCAAATTTGAAAGGCTTAGGACCCCTTTGGATTAACACATCAGTAGAGAGAAGGATGGGGGAATAGTTAGATGATAAGAAAGGAAGATTAGTGAGAGTTGCATCAGCAAACTTCCTCCTCCATTCATTGACAAA